GTAGTAACTATGATCTGTCCAAAGTACTGAAGATAATCCTCAGCTTAGGATGACTCGTTATGGTAGAATAGCTTTTCGAAGATAATGTTGATTAAACAGAATGAACATGTCGTAATTCGACGAAGGAAAAATCCCAATTTACAGCGAGAGTGTGGACAATACAAGCTTGACTTTGTATCTGCTGATAATGTAGAACCAATGTGAGGTGTCCATAGATATGAGAGACTGAAAGCCGGAAAAGAAAAGGCCCCGGAGGATATGTTGTACTGTTATCATGGTTGCATAAAATCATGTCTTTGTGAAAATCGTATGAAGACCCCGAACACAGAAAGCAATATGACAAAGCAGAAAAAGCAAATGATGGATTGTAAGAAGTTTAGCGGTAGGCACCACCGTATCGAACGTTGGTTGGTGGCATACGTGGTGGTGGAGCGCTGCTGATGGTAGGGCCAGAGCCTGGGCCTGGACGAGTTTGAAGGGCAGGGTTGGTGCAGAGCATGCCGACTCGGGAACCAAATTTCGAACCACGAAGAGAGACCATATGCTTGCGAATATGAGAGGCGACAATCTCCCGATGTTGTGGGTTGGAGTGCTGCAAAATGTATTGGATTAAGTAATTGCCGTATTGATCACTGGCAATATCGATCAAAGGGATGCGGGGACGATCGAGGCGACCTTCACAAACACGATCAAGGTAACGACCAAGAAAGTCGACACCACCAATCTTGAGACACTTTTCAACAACCTTAGAAGCAAATTGATCCATACTGTACTCAGAAGCATAGCGGATAACATGGTCAATAGCCCGGCTACGATCAGCTGGTGCTCCATGCTCGCAGATATGTTGAATACACCAATTACCGAACTGTCCGTGGGCAACAATGTCAATACTAGCAAGGACTTCTTCAATGCAAGGACGCTATGATACAATTAGACCCAATTCAATACAAAGCGAATATTCAGACATACCTTGTCTTCTTCTAGACAGTTCTCGAAGATGTTCTGGACAACCAAACTACCAGTCTCACCAAGAGCGACTTCATGCCACATACCACGAAGAGCTTCATTAACATACTTCATGATCTGAGGGGGAGACTCAGTCCAGCGAAGTTCAAACAACTTCTGCCAGACATGGCAAGCGTATCTATGAATGACAGTTTCTGGAATTCTACGAAGCAGTTCATGGACCATAATAGCCTTGTAATCTTCTGGAACCGAATCAAAAGCCTTTTGGACAACATGGCAGCCAAAAGCATCCATAGAGAGATTGAGGGTATTGCCACGTATAGCCTCTGCAATCTTGATGACTTGCTCTGGAGTACCGTGCTCGAAGCATCGTTGAACCAAGAAGTTGCCAAAGCGGTTGACCATTAGAGGATAAGCCTGGGCAACAATAGCCTCGACAATATCATATTTCTGCTCGGTTGTACCAACCTTGAGCTTCTGTTGCAAGAAGATCGAAGCTTGCTGATCATTATTGCAAACAATCTTGTCAACAATATACTTCCAGTTACAGTTGACGGTTCTGTCCAGGAGACGACGATAGTTCAATGGCTCAGTGGTTGGTAGATAAGTTTGGTGACCTTCATTGGCAACCGACTGAAGATAAGTTAGTGAATGCTGCCTAATCAATCGACTGATGCTTACCTCGGTCTTCCATGTTCCACTGGCTGAAGTGAACTCTGGTGCATGTGGCGAAAGAGGTGTGCCTATTGGCTGAGGTTGGTAGCCTGAGTACATTCCACTTCCCATGTTCATACCCATGTTCATCTGATTGCCAAGTGGAGTTGGAATTCCCCCCATTGATCCATAAGAACTTGAAGCTGGTGTAAAACCTTCAAAGGAGCTTGAGCTGCTCGAGTAAGGAATGGAACCTAGATTACGATTATTATTGAATCTGGTGCCATTGTTACGACGGACTCCTCCACCGGGCATTGCCGTATCATGCTCATATCTCTCACCACGAAAGGCATTTGGAGGTGGTCCACCAAATGCCATGTTTGGCTCAACGAATGGCTGATTGCAACCGCCACGACCCATCCATTGTCCAGAAGTATGTGGATCAGATGGTTGAAAGGAAGGCATGGGTGGAGCATTCGGGAAATTTAGTTTGTTATTGTCCCAAATAGCTCGAGTACGGTTGTAGCCACTTGCGGAAAGAGCATCACTATGATCAGAATGTGCATCTTCTTGGTTGGCCCAGGAGCTTTCACGAGTGACATGAGGACGGAAATGATTTGGAGGGATACCGGCAGAGGGGTCTGAAACATTTCCGAGAGGAAAGTCGGCTTCAGAAACACTACCAATAGCTTGGTCAATAGTGTGCTTTGTAATGCGGTTTTGTGCAAGCTCTTGATCCATGCGAGCAATTCTTCCTTTTGCAGCCTCCAACTCAATCTTAAGACGTAGAACCTCTTCAGCACTAGGCTGATTATCGCCATCGCCACGACTCTGAGGACGAGTAGTTGGAGCAGTTGTCGCTGTGCCCGAGTCAAAATTTTCCGTAGCAGGTGTAATTGGAACAGAAGTAGGAGCAGAACAGTAGTCGAGGGTTCTTGAATTGTTCGAACTATAGTCATCTGAGTTCCTCAAAGCTTCATGTTGGCGATTGAGAACCGCTTGTTGCTCCGAAAGCTTGGCCAATAATTTATCGACAGGATTTGGCGAGTTGTCGAAAGTGGGGCATTGGAATGAAGGAGCTGTGGTAGTAGGGGCAATGAAAGTTTCGTGGCTTAACTTCATCTTCTGTATCCGTTAATATGCATTAAGGTATTGAGCGGATGAGATTTTTACCTTAGGAGCAGCTTGGTTGCCCAGCTTGTTTGTAGAAAGAGCTGTAGCGGCCTTCTTGAGAGTATTAGCATTGTCCTGAATAATATTGGTCAGTAAGATATGCGAGATATGCGAGATATGTAGAAAATGAGATTGTATAGACGGCGTTTGATTGGAAGGTAAGCAGGGAGAACTCTGCTACCGAGCTCACTCGAGAAGAAATGGTAAAATTCCATTAGAACAGTGTCAGAGACACAGGAATGGCAATCAATGCAGAAATCGACGGAATGAATTGAAGATGCAAACTCACCATTCTTGTTGTTAGTTTATCAACAGCATCGTCGCCGAGTCCAGGGTTCTCATGGCTGCTACGATCAATTGTACGACGGAAGGTTGGCGATCCATTGGAAGCGACTGAGGAAGCCATGTTGCTTGTGAGATATCTTGATGAGTGGCTGTGAAAGGAAAGTAATGATCCAATGCAGATTGTGCTGACTGAATAGATCGAAAATGATTGTTGAATGGCTCACTCGTAGATGAGTTGAAAGTAGATGAAGAGAAATGAAGGTATTGAAGATCAAGAAAACAAATAAGAGTCGTAGCTCTATGGAGACTTAGATAGAGAAGTAACGTCTGTCCTTGGCAGCTGCTCTATCCTTTGTTATCAATTGGCATGCAAAAAACTGAAAGTATAATTCACTGTATTTGGAATTGAGGTTGAGAGAAAGAATGAAGGTCCCGTCGTAGATGAAGAAAAAAAAGGTCGAAAGTGATTTTGTGCGGGTGTTCGGTAAGCTTTATATTCACTCAGAGAATATTATACTCACTCTATCGTCTCGCATATTTCAACTCTAAAGTCTTTTCATGATTGGTTGAGCAGATTTTTTTATCAATCAGGTAGATATGAGACGCAAGTAGAGTAAGAGGCTCTATGAACGGGGAAAGCAAATCAAATACTGCAAGAGAGAAAGTCCGCAAAGCTCAATGAATACAGAATTCCAGCATGGTCGTTCTTGCCCCTTCTTTTCTGTGCTAGTACCACTTAAATTCTTACATGAATAACTTCTCTGAAAGAATCTCAACTACTTCCAAAGTTTACATTCGATGAATTTAAATTACCTTTCGGGCCGAAGAATCAAACCAAGGTTTGTTTTGAAATATCGTCTTCCCATGATGGTCATATAAGGTAATGGCAACTTGTATAGAATTGTAGAAAGGACGACAGATCGTTATGTCCTCTGATCATACCTAGAGATGGTAGTAAATATGAATAGTACTTAACACATATGGCCCTCTTTGATTACTGTATACTTTCGCGTTGAAATAGAAAGAGATCATGTGTGGCTAAACTTTCATAAAGTTCTTGAAAGTTAAGCCATAAGGTTGGGAGGGAGGGGTTTGAAGTCGAAATCGGCGTGATCTCAATACTTCGTAGCCGTAGAAGTGGAAGGAGCCGATTCATTCCAAGGCTGCAATTACTTGCAGTGTTGTGACTTCGAATTGATAATTCGATGCTTTCAGGAGCAATGTACGCAGATATATAATAATCTTTCTCATTTGACTGAGCTTCTGCAATTTGCGTTCAAGGTCCTGGCAATAGTTCAGAAAACCCTCCACCAAGCCCCGTTCCAAGAGCTGACCCCAAACGCCAGTAATGCTACAGTTGTAGAATGCTGTACAAGTTATGTTCGGGATATAACGCTTATCCTCATCTACCTCTTCTTTCCCTTGAACTTCTTGGAATCTGAGTAAATTTGTTAGTAAATACCGTCATACCCGCAGTGGACCACATACCTTCCGCAGTCCTCTTCTTTTTTGGTGCTCCCTTTCCTCTCGCTTTCAGACTACATCACTGTTAGCAGGATTCTCCAGACACTGATATAGATGATACACATACATTGTAATATGTTCAAATCTATCTTCCTCAGCATCATCATAGGTCTCGACGTCATATTCGTCGTAAGCTTTTTGTAAATCCTTGATCGTAGCCATCTTTCGCGGGTAGTATGCAGCCAACGCCGGTCCCTTTAATCTTTGTCGAAGAATCTTGTTTCCTGTTCGAAGTCTATCAGGATTGAAAGTGGTCGAGAAGATCCGGCATTGGACCTGTATAATTGAGATTAGTCCCAAGTTCCCGGCTTTAGAATTATACAGATCAGTACCTTCATCAATTCCAGCACTCTCGACTTTGCGACCGACATGTTTAGTGATATAAGCTTGGATCTGCTTTTCAAATCGAGTGGTTCATCAATTCTATAGATTTAGCGGTCCTATCCGGGATTTCGGGCCTTTATTGATCCGGTCGTCACGTGTAGCCCTCGAAGTTCTGCTCCGGTCTGGTTCGCGACCTTCAAATTCTCTATCATGTCGATTAGTGTCGATTCTTTTCAGTTCTCAATGTAACAATTTGGAGCCATTTTCTCCTTTTGTCGATTAAATTCAATTCTCTCTTCATTTGATTGAGGTTCACTGTGAACATTCACTTGCACTTCAAGCATTGTAATGGTGCATGCGTCCGACTTAGTAGCAAATTTGTAAAACCCAGTCAAGTTAGAAATGGCATCTAAACGGCCATTTCCTTTCGAGAATGGCAGCGGTCAGGAGCACAAGAAAAGAAGTGTAAGTCAAACTTCTTGAATACATCTACAACGCTAATTCAAATATCAGATCAATTCTTTGTCGCATAAGAAAATCTCCAAATTATTGGGTGCATTAGAAGAACTTCTTGGGGAAGACGATGTGGGCGAAGTTGAGGCTTTAATGGGCGGTGCAGCATTTTCGGGAGTAACCGAACTTTGTAATACACTACGAGACCAAGTGCAGTCAGACTTGAATGATACCAGCCATAGTGGTTCTGGGGACTTTAAGGTTGAAAGTTCATCTCAAGAACCTGTGATTGGAAACCCAGGGAAAATATTAACAGCTCTACAAATTACACCATGGACTTTGTCTTCCATTCCATCAAAACTTCCACCCCTTCCAGAAGTGTATGATCCTACTCTTGAGCTGGCTTCGTTCACTCACCATGGCCGTACTAATGGCAGCGTTACTGATTTGAGCTATGAACGCCTAGAATGGGTAGGAGATGCATATATCTACACCATTTCTACCCTTCTCATATCACAGACGTTCCCTGCCTTACTGCCTGGAAAATGCTCCCAACTTCGCGAAAGACTCGTCAAGAATGTCACTTTGGCTGATTTTGCACGAAAATATGGTTTCGAAAAGCGCGCGAAGCTGCCAGAAGATACTCTCCATCCTATGAAAGAACAGGAAAAAGTCAAAGCAATGGGAGATATTTTTGAGGCATATGTCGCAGCTGTCGTGCTTTCAGATCCGGAACACGGAGTCTCACGTGCATCAGAATGGCTGAAAAGTCTCTGGGCCATGGTGTTGTCAAAGGAAATCCAACAAGAAGAGCGGAATGAGGATAAATTGGATAGCCCTTTGTGGAGATTAAGAGGAAATGTTGACAATGTCCAGACAAAAACTAAAAGCGTACTTAATCCCAAAGAGAAATTACAAAAGGCCCTTAGTTCAAAAGTCAGTAAATTGACGTATAAGGATATTGGAACAGCCAAGAAGGACAAAAATACTAAACTCGCGGTGTTCACAGTGGGCGTTTTTCTTGACGGATGGGGTGAAGTTAACAAGCAAATTGGGTTTGGAAGTGCAAATGGCAAGAAAGAGGCAGGCTTCAAAGCCGCGGAGATGGCGTTGAATAACAAGAAGATGATGGCCAAGTACTTGGAAAAGAAGAAGATCTACGACGCACAACAGGAAAGAGAAAGAATTGCGCTTCAGAAACAAGAAGAAAATTGATCATGATCAACAGCTAAAAAGGAAAGTTATGACCTTTGAGTCGGGTGGTCAGTAAGGGCTCTCATCTTGAGGGATATCGATAGACGAATAAGGATTGCTTGGACTGCAGCGGTCAACATCAATTTGGGTTCAATGCAGTGCATTTTTTGAAAGTTGCTTGTTGGCAGGGGGAATAGATACCCAAGAATTAAGTTTCCAGATAGGACACGAAATAATTAACATATCCGCCTCTTCATGAGCTACTTGTGTGAAGGCGTTCATGAGGTGTTCGAATGCATCCATCATACATATTTTCAGCGACCTTGGATCCATTCTCAAGCAATCAACTAATGTGTGTTATCATTTTACTGGTTGTTCCCCTTGCGCTGAAAACATCATTGTGGATCATTGAGTGAAAACCCTCAAGAATCCTTACAAACACTTGTCAATTGACACTTCTACATGTTTCATGTTCCCGTCTCTCAGGAACCGCGATATATTCTGTTCTTCACTCCAAAGCAACCTTTCACAACATATAAAAAGTTCCCGAGTCAGGGGTGTAAGTAGCGATCCCAAGGTAAGATTACTAGCGCGGTCCTTTCCGGCACCGCTAATCCTTGTAATTACTGCATTTCTTCGAGCCTCGGTTGGTCATTGCAGATACAAACGCGAAAAGATGCGCATGATTATCATTTAATATTTGCATTTCCTTTCATTTCAGATCTCCCACTTTGCTATCTATAATAATATTCCTTTAATTTTTGAAACATTTGCTCCAAGTTTGTGAAGATCGCATTTCCTGGCCGAGAACCAAGTCATTGATTTGTAACATTGGGCTGGGACATTTTATGCTGAATAGATGAGAGAGGGAGGAACGCTCTGGAGATAAGATGGCGGATTCTGTGGGTAAGTAATGCGCTGTCTGTTCCTGATGACGATACATTTCTACCCTATCCTACCAAATCTGCCCTGAACTGCTGCAGAGATTCCTAATTGTACAAATCTGACTCTGCCCAAAATGCCAGACCGAGTATTCGTCCACGCGCTCAACACAGTAAAAAAGATACCCAAGACTGGAGCATCGCGGCCGCCTCCTGCAGATCGATTACGTCTCTATGGATTATACAAACAAGCTATGGAGGGGGATGTGGATGGTGTCATGATGCGGCCGAGTTCTAGGGGTGAGGGAGAAGATGGTGAGGCGGGACTACAGGGAGAAGAATTAAAGAGGGAAAGGGATAAATGGGATGCGTGGGATGCGCAGAGAGGGGTTAGTAGAACAGAAGCGAAGAGGAGGTATATTGAAGCGTTGATTGATACTATGCATAAGTATGCTAGTACTACTGCGTAAGTCATGGATTTCCTGCCTTTGGGGCGCAACCCGAGGGGATTGAAAATAAGCTAATTTCGGATGTGGCAATGCAGAGATGCGAGAGAACTGGTTGCGGAATTGGAGTTTGTCTGGGATCAAATCAAAAATAATACTCCATCATCCACGGGATCTTCGCCCGGCCATCGCGTGCCATCCTATACGACTCAACCGAGACAATTTCTAGAACCAGTGTCAGGGACCGACGGCGCAATGAGGGTACTGAGTCCAATGAGCCAGGACGATGAGGCGGAAAGGGAATCTGAGAGACGATTGGGACGCAGTGGCGAAGATGAAGAGGTATATACCGACGGCAAAAACAACAAGACGAAATGGAGGAAGAGTGTGGAACAAGCGCTAGTGAAAATGACAGCTGAGATCGCAGCATTGAGGGAGCAGATTGCTACTGGAAGAGAATACCAGGGCAAGAAGTCAAGGTCTCCAAGAAAATGGGTGGCTTGGTTTATATGGATCGCCATCAAACACTTTCTAGTGGACATGGCGCTATTAGGTCTCATTCTGTTATGGATGAGACGAAAGAAGGACAGGAGAGTAGAGGATCTCGTAAGAGAAGGACTGAGAATTGGGAGGGAATACGTGAGGACAGTCTTACCCTCTCGGTGATAAGAGATCGACTTTGAAATTTACAACTTATAATAACGACCAAGAGCGAATATAATTGTCGGATTTTCTCGCTTCACATTAAACGACGCAACAGTCAGAACTCGGTCAAAGACTCCTTACTAAAGGAAAAATTATATTATACCCATCAAAAAATATCCAATATATATATTACCACGATCTATCAAGTCGCTATTCGACCAGAGGTGTCTACGAAGGCATACCCTCCATTTGCGCAGCACCAGGAATTTCGGAAAGCCACTTCACCCTTTCCTTAACAAACAATTCCCCCTTTGGAACATTCTCATTTGGCCAATTGTCATCATCCAAAACGCCAGCTTTGATAATTACTTGGTTGGGTAAAGAATCACCAGTGCGGTACAGAGTGGTGCCACAATCTCCGCAAAAGTGTGAGGTGATTTGATTACCGGAATCGGCTTTTTTGCTAATGGTTTTTGGCTTTCCTGGAGGTGTTAAATGATGGACTTGTGGGATGGGATATTGGTGGCAAAAGGGAAAGAGGAGAAGAACGGGTAAATGGGTGGGAAATGGGAAAACGTCGGAAGGCGTGGGAAATACAAACCAGATTCAAGCTTGAATTGTCCTTCCGGTAATACGATGTTGTTACTATAAGTAGCACCGGTAATCTTTCGACAATCGGTACAGTGGCATAGGAGATGGGCTCCTGGCTCGCCGGTGTAGCTTATGCGGACCTATGAGATGTGCGTAATCAGCATATATGGATTAAGACGAGAGTGGGCGGTTGTAATATATATATTGTAAACTTATAATGACATGAGACAGAATAGTATTGGCAGGGAGGGGCAAAATACCGCATCGCAGAAACATCCTCCTGATGGCATTTTCGAATTAATAGTATATTGCAGTTGAGAAACGTTAGAGGTAGTATTGAGTAGGTAGTTAATAGGATGATTATAGATATAGATTGCTGGCTGGCTGTCTGTTCAAGAACAATATATATACCTCCTCCTTCCCCTATAAAATCCATGATATCAAAGTTCCAAAACATGAATACAAATCATCTACTGCCTGGTTCCACTCATCCTGAGCACAGCAGCAATATTATCAAGGTAATGGGGGGGCGGTAGAGGTCAAAACTCGAGCTAAGGGGTGCGGAGCAGATGAAGCTATGAAGAAGCTAGGCGTTAATATTCCTTTCTTCCGAGGCGGGAGATCTCCTGTGGAGACTAACGGTGCATATTTGGAATGAGGTTTGGAGGGATATGAAATGGCAGTTTGCGGCTAGTGAGATGGCATGGGATGGGGGTGGACTATTAGATATTATCTGATAGTGTGATATTGGATGAAAAGAGGAGGAGATGAAATGGATCACTGGGTTGAAGACTCTGGTAGCTGGAGATACCGAGTTACAGAAAACAATAAAAAGTGAATTTCAATTTTGAAATCTTTGGTAATGTAATAAAAAGTTAGTACATAGTGAATCAAAAATACTTTAATATTCAATTAATAGTCAAATTCCATATCTGCAGGAGCAACAAGGATATAACCTTATAGCAAACTTGATCGAACAAAGCGCGTCGGCAATCTTTGACCCCTCTACCTTCCTCCCCACAACTGACAATTTATTATCCCCAGGTACAGAGTAACCTTACATCACCACAAAGTTCTAGTCCTGGACACAGCGTTCGGTGTTATCCAGTGTTGCCAAGTAGTTCCTGGAGTCTAAAACAACCCATCAAAGCATAGAGATCAATGGTCGAGCATATCTGTGTAATCATTCGAGGCTTTCTATTGGAATAGTTCCAAGCCCGCGTTTCACGATGGGTCAAACATCGGAATTAGGAGCGCGTCCACGAGATGTAAGTTGAAATCTCACGTTCACACGTGATATTGATTGCATTTCTACTCTTCCCACTCTTCCTCTTGATTGATCCTCATTTTTCTACTTATTGTTTGCTTTGAAAAAGTGAAAACTAACAATATATCAGACGCCTCTGGATACCGCAATTAATGCTTCAATCTTTGTCGCCTTCAACGGATTCCCAACTGGACCCCCTGCATCCACTGATCGTGATACTAAGATCAAGAATCTCAAGCGTCACAATCGTCTTGTTCGTGCGAATATCGTCAAAGCTTTCGTGGCTGAGAAAGAGAGGCTGTTGGAGAAGTTTAAAGACGATATTGCGAAGCAGAAAGATGCTATTGAAAGAGGAAGAGTCGATCGAGTCGCAATTTCGATCAAGGAGGATGCGAGGGAGAAGAAGAATAGAAAGGAACTTGAAGATCTCTCGTGGTTGAGAGGTCCGAAATGGTTGTTGGAATTGCAAGCAGAGGATAGGAGGAGTGGAGTCAATGATGTTTCCCCACAGGAACTGCAGAATAGGGATAGGAGATTGAGGAAGGAAATGGAGGGACATGAGAGTAAAGAGTATGAGTGGAATTCTAAGTATTTCCGTGGCCCTGCGCCGGAGAGTGAGAATGAGGAAGAGAACGATGGAAGCAGGGATAGCGAAGGAGATGTTGTGATGGGAGGATTGGATTCATCGAGTGTGTCGCCCACAGAACTCGGTTCTCCGTTTAACACAACGGCACTTTTTGAGCTCGAACAAAAGCTGGATCGAGACCTACAGCGATTGTTGGAAGAGGGGATCAAGAAGATAAAGGAGTACGATGTTCATGCGGACAATTCCGTAAAACAGTATAAAGATAAGTTGGCGCAGGATATCATCAATGGCCTTGGATTGGACACAACGGAAGGTCAACAATTGAAGAACACAGGATCGAAAATCAACCTACCAACTTCGTCCGGACCTCATGTGGGTATACTGAAAAAGAAGTCTGTTTCGATGCAAACCTCTATGGATCCACCAGCAAATTTCCCGAAGAAATCGGTATCGATCCAGACTCCATTGGAGGGCGGAGCTGATTGTGGTAGTACTTCGAACAAGTCGGTATCACTTCAAACTCCAAAAGAGAAAGGTTTTAGTCTTTCAAAGAAGCCTATATCAATCCAAATACCACCCAAAACTCAAAACGGAGTTTCGGGAAGACCACTTGTACAAAGTCCAATGGATATTACTGGTAGCGCTTCGAAGAAAGTTTGTCTTGACGATCCCTTCTGGACTGGCCCTTCAAATTCAAGTTCAAGTTCAACTCCTCTGTCTATGAATACACCAACCAGTGCACGGAGCCAGGGTTCTTTTCCGATGGATGCTCCTACTGGACCAGCAAAGTCCAGACATCCCTCAAATTCTTCAAGTGGCCCTTCTACTCCTATTACACCAAACGTTCCGACGGGGCCAGCAAGTTTCAAACATTCCAGGCTTTCATCGAGCTCCTCGAGTCGACCGCAGAGTCCCAATATGCCAAGCTTCCTCGCCGACTCTACGAATGCCAATGCATCTACTCCCCGTCTTTCTCAATCTCGAAGTGCGCCAAAGGATTCTCCTTCGCCTCGTCGACCATCTAACGCTGGTCTGCGAGGTGGTCTAACTTCGCTGTCCATGGTCTCCACACCATCGACAAATTCTAAGAGTACAGATTCCCACGCTGGCAAAAGTTTCATATCATCATTCACCTGGCTTCCAAAGCCTGGTAATGCATGCGATTTAAAGATTTTGATCGGGGATGAGATTGAACTCACTAAACACGAATCAAGGGATGATTATATTGCATTTAACCAGACTTCTGGAAAGACGGGTCATATCGACATCAAATATTTCATGCAGGACATCGAGCCCATCGGACTGCTTGGCGTGACTTTCATATCTTCAAGCCGATATGTTCCAAAATCTTTCAACAACTTTTATGATTTAGAGATCGATCGTGGTGATGAAGTCAAAATCACGTCGTACCACTCCGGCGAGGCATATGTGGGCTTCAATATGAGAACAAGAAGGGCGGGAATTTTGAATGCGAAATATTATCTGAAGGATATTGAAGACACCGAACTTGCCAAAAAAATTGCTACGCGACCTGGACCAAGTTACAATGATGAGGACGATCCTCCTATTTCACATGTCGGTAAAACCTTCACAGCAACAAATACCCAGAGCCCGAAACATTCCAAAGACGTGGCTACTCTAAATGTTAGAATTGGCGATAAGATCAAAATTACCAAGTATTGGGGTGGAAGCATGTTTGTGGGTTTCAACAAGGTGTCAAAGAAAACAGGGCATTTCAACATCGACACATTCTGGAAGGATGTCGAGAGATCTAGTCTTGAATCGCCAGGTGAATCTATCAGCAGACCATCCACATCCAAGAAAATCCCCCAAAATAGCAAGCATGTACATGTTGGTAAAACTTTCATTGCATCACACGACTATTTTCCACGTAGTGATGCCGTTGATGATCTGCCCATAAGATACGGAGATGCCATTGAAATTGTCAAGCATGACTTTGGTGACATATTTGAAGGATATAATACCAGAACAGATAGGATGGGGCTAGTCAACATCTCATACTTTAAGAGAGACGTCAATTCTGCCGAAAAAACTGGTGAATCTTTCTCGGCAACGGGGTCTCGACGTTCCGATGATAACTCATATGATATTGGTATCCCACAGACCGATGGTAGCTACGACTTCGATTATTATCCCCAAGTTGATCCCGCTGCACATGTTGGCAAAACTTTCATCTCATCACACACTTGGATTCCTAACAATGGCAGTGATCTATCAATAAGGTTTGGCGATGCTATTGAAATTATCAACGACAATTTTGAGGGAAACTATGAGGGCTACAATAAGAGAACTCAGAGGTATGGACGATTTCAAGCCAGGTTCTTTCAGAAGGATATCGATGCTCTTGACTATATTGGAAAGCGTTTCACTGCCACACGCAGCCTGTATAACCCAGATTTTGGTGGTTTACAGATTAACACCGGTGATACCATTGAAATCACAAACGTCATAGGACGAGATCTCTACACGGGAAACAATTTGAGCACCAGACAAATGGGAGGCGAGTTCTATATGGATCAATTTCGAGAAGATGTCGAACGCGGTCACTATGCTGCTACTGATGACAACCGAAGATATAACGAACACCGCCATCTTGCAGATGAAATCCCGGACGGTCATTCCGCTCATGAACCTCAAGATAAAGCTTCACCTCACCATTGCATCAACAAAGTCTTCACAGTAACAAGCACTCAGAGTCCTCGAGCGCCTTCAGACATCACGCTATTGGTCTCCATAGGAGACATGATCGCAATCGAAAAGTTCGTCTCCGGTTCCACGTTTCGCTGCTTCAATATTACGACTGGCGAGACCGGGCATGTGAAATTGGATAACTACTGGAAGGATATCGAGGCTGCTGAGAGATTAAGAGGTGGCATGGATGTTGACTCGCCTCCTAGTCGAATCTCTACGTCGGATCTTCTGGAAAATGGTGTAAACCACCAGCTATGGCAGCAAGAACAATTGGACAAGAAAAAATTCACCATTAAAGGGCTTTCGCGGAACTCATCGCGTGTCAGGGAGTCTTTCTAGCGAAGTGAAGTGTAGGTTGTAGAGAGAAATGAGAGGAGAGATGGGGATCGTGATGAAAGGTATTGAGCATTGGACCAGGGGAGATGTATATATTTGGTCAGAAATGGAGTTTAGAACGTCGATTCATTCTCGAGAAGATGTTATAATGGGATTGGGGCGGAAAAACTCTTAAACTTTTGGTTTGGAAGATAGTGGGAGAATTTTGCATTGCATTGCGTGAGGGAATTTGATCGTATATCTTGAGATGAGGGGATTGATAGTTATCTAGATACTTAGATATTTAGATATCAAATTGGGATTTTGCTTGCTTTCTTTTTCGGTCGATTGATTGATTGATTGATTGATTGATTGATTAGTTGATTGTATTTGCTTTTTGACTCATTCGATGGAGGAATCTTGATGGTAGGCAGGTAGAAATTTTGCCAGCTGGTCGACTGGCTGGCTAGCTGGTTCATCATTTGGAGATGATGAGTGTGTAGAATTAGGTAAATTGAGGATAAACCGGATATGCTTCATTTCTATAGAATTAATTTGAATCGTCGATGTGTGATTAATGGCTTCAGAGGAAGAGATGAAGCAGGGGAACTTGTCCTAGAAATATGAATCAGCTTTACTGTGATTGCATTAGATCTTGACCAAACAGTGCACGTAAAGCCACACGGTGAGATTTCTAAAGAATATTTCTTCTTGATCCTATGGAACTCAGTATTCGGAATTCGGATATAATAAATTAGTCTATCGAATATCTAAATCAGTGCCCGACACTAAACATAGTGATTCAAGATATATGCTACGCTTTAAGAACTGCTCAACTCCTAAAATCCAATCATCCTGAACGCCTTCGCTTAAACATAAACTCCAACTCAATCATAAAACTATGCTCAAGCAGACCCTTCACCAGCACTTCCTCCCTCCCCACCACTCTGTTCCCTCACTTTCCTCATTCTCTCCTCCGCCGCCTTCGCCAAAACCTCCCTCCTACTCATTCCCTGTCCCGAAGCCGCTCCCGAATTCGTCCCCGTACTTTCCGCGCCCCCCGAACCTCCTACTCCCAGTACAAATTCCCCTCCGCTCCATCCCCCATGATCATCCACTTCTTCTCTACTATAATACTCCTCTTCGCCCAGCGCATGGCCTCCACTCCTCCAATCATTTCCCTCTACCTCTTTCTCAATCTCCTTGCATAAATTCCAGAAATTCCGATCATGCGGTCCCCACACATTATGCGCCAATTCGTGACACAGCGTCTTGCGAATAGTTTTATAGTCTCGATATCCATCATACGCATCTGTTCTCAGACGCAATTCAATCACTTCTCCTTGATTCCTATTCAGACCCAAAGTGCGCGATGTACCTTCATGATTTGAAACCGTATGTTCAACGGGGTTCATTTCCGTCAGCAGAGGAACGGTGAATTTATGTTTGCGCATCGCGGCCTTGATGCCCGCGTCGTCTTTCAATCGTTGCAGAAATTGGAGAGATTTGGAGGGGTTGGGGAGGTAGGGAAGCGGACGCAGGGTTTGGAATGTGTATTGCGCTTCTTCTTGCTCGCGCTTCCAGTCTCGAGTTTTGTAGGCGGAGACTTTTTGCGCAGGGCGAGTAGAGGGGCCGTTGACGCTGCGGGAGGCGGCGAGGGCGCCGGCGGCAACAGAGGATGCTTCCGCGATGGTGCTACCCATGAGGATTATTTTTTTGTCGGTGAGAGATGTTATTGAGAGGAAAGGGTCTTTGAAGGGGAGTTTTAGAAGACCGAGTTTGGAAACCATGAGTTTTTGGTTTTGAGGGGGGATTGAGAGGGTGGTTGAAATGGAATCGGAAAGGTCGGTGATGGTTGCTGTGGGAGGTAGAGAGAAGATATGAGGTTTTCCATGATGAGTGACGGTTATAGAAACTAGATCTTGGGGATTAGTAGACATGTCGTCGTCGTTGGTATTCATGATCCCTTGCGATTTTCAGGTCAAGTAGTTTGTAATTCACAGCACAATGCGAATGAATGGAATGACTGCGATAGCTTATCAGTATGTGTAAAAAGAGTGTATTATATTGTATTGAAAGCTAAATAATATACATAGTTTGATAGAATCAATAGTAATCATGAGTAGAACTTTCTAGGCAAAAAACCGCTTCGTAATCATCATGTTTCAACTTTCAAAGCTCAGCAGACGTTCTTGCCACAAAAGCAAGCTAAAGATTACATAATCCACGACCTTCCTTTGCCAAGCTTTCCGATCCGCCGCCGCCAATAACCTTACTTCATCATCCCTGGCCTGGTTGTACCTTTTTACAAGGCTAAATCGAGACTCAGCGTTAGCTAAGCTTCAAGTTGCGTGTCCTCAATCCAGTCCGTCAACTACAACGACAACTGTGCGATCGAATGTGTTATATCAATTGATTTATTGATTTCAATTGTTTTGCTTGATTCTTGATTCGGTTCTAAACCTCTTATCTTTGAAACTTGGGTCTTTGAGACAAAGTATCTGCGATTGCGCATGTGTAGGGAAACTCCCTTGACTTGCTCATCATGAATCTTTTTCGAATCTTGGGTATGTTATCCCCCTAATTGCCTTCGCTCATTGACTTTTCAAAAGCTAATTCATCGCGCTTGTAGGGGACTTCTCCCATCTCCTTTCAATCCTGATTCTCCTCCACAAAATGCACCAAACAAACGTACGTCTCCTACCCCTTCCCCTCTACTCCCAACCAACCATCTAACCCCCTCCAGTCCTGCGCCGGTATATCCTTCAAATCTCAAGCACTCTACCTCCTCGTCTACGTCACCCGCTACCTCGATCTCTTCTGGACTTTCACCGACTCCCTCTATAACACCACTTTCAAGCTTCTTTTTCTCTGCTCCTCCGGCTACACAATCTACCTAATGACCACTTCCTTCAAACCCACCCACGACCCCAATCTCGACACCTTCCGCGTGCAATATCTCCTCGGTGGTTCCCTTGCCCTCGCTTTCATCTACCCCTACGCCTATACCCCCTCTGAAATCCTCTGGGCCTTCAGCATCTGGCTTGAATCCGTCGCCATCCTCCCCCAACTCTTCCTGCTCCAAAGAACCGGAGAAGCCGAGACGATTACGGCGAATTATCTCTTCGCGTTGGGAAGTTACAGAGCATTATATATACCAAATTGGTTGTGGAGATATTTCCAAGAGAGCCACTGGGATGGAATTGCCGTGTTTGCAGGTGTGATTCAAACGGTTCTTTATTCGGATTTCTTTTGGATTTACTACACGAAGGTTATGAAGGGAAAGAGATTTACTTTGCCAGTATAAATCTCTTGAAGGATTATATGGGATCCCAGCTTTAACTTACTAAAGCAGAGATCGATACAAAGGAAACGAATGAAACTGGATGCGCAGACGAGTCAGTTCGCGAAGGAGACGAAGACTCACAGAAGAAAAAGAAACACTTGTACGACAAATGGCTCTTTGTCGATGTAGAGCCACAGACAAAATAAGATATGATGAGCATGGTTTGGCGTTGAATGGAGACGGGTCTAGATTCTGCTCGAGGCATAGCAGGGTATGGAAATGAGGCTCAAGTTTTCTCCAGCAATTTTGTACAGTATTTGTAAAATGCATAGAGTATGTTCTCTGACCCATTGAAAGTGCGAAGTAAGCCTTAAAGTGATCAAAAAGGTAAATGTATTTGTCTATTTCATGTCAATTCATAAACTTCACATTATTGTGCATTCTAACCACCCCCAAAACCCGGTAATAGACATCATCAATTTCTTAAATTGTCATTTTTTCATTTGACTGCCTACAACCCATATATACACAAACACCATTGTTTGACGCACGCAAGAAACCCAAATACAAAACCCATCCAGATCAAGATCAAGGACCATAAGCGACTCTTCCACGAGGATTCTCGCTTGAGTAGCCCGGGGCCAGGAAATTAGTTTCTGGGTTTCCTGTCTCCTTTGCTGCTGAACATCTCGCCATTGTTGGGGAACTGTAGCTTTTGTTAGTTTTTGTGTCTCCAGTAATTAACTCAAGGGGCGAGAAGGGTGAGGGTGAGGATAGGGAAGAGCAAAATGAGATGTGTGTAAACTAACCTTCTTGAAATGACATCTGTAAAATAAAAGTTATCAATAACCTTCTTCAAAGGCGCACCTGTTGGCTTGCTACCCTTGTTCTGATCTACCAATTGAACCTTGCTCAATTGTCTCAGAGCAACTGGTTCAACGACATCATAGCTAGCTAATGAAGGACTGATCTCCACCATACGATCACGCAGAGCAGCGACATCATCGTATGGTAATGGAGCACCCAAGAATTCACTGACTGCTCGGATAATCTTCCAATCAGTTCTTGCGGCACCAGGTAATGAAGTAGCGGCACGGGTCATTTGTACACGTCCTTCGGTGTTGACGTATGTTCCGGCCTTCTCGGTATATGCGGCACCTGGAAGAACGACATCGGCAATTTGAGCCCCACGATCACCGTGATGACCTTGGTAGACAACAAAGGCGTTCTTAGGGATATCAGCAGCATTGAATTCATCAGCACCGAGTAACCAAACGAATTTAGGCTTTGTCTCAGCAACAGCTTGGGAAGGTGTGGTGAAGCCAACTTCAAAAGCACCAGCTCTTGAGGCAGCACGTTGAAGAACGTTGTATCCATTCCACTCCTCTGTCAAGAAGTTGGAGGCGTGCTTCTCAACGAAGGTACCAACCGTCTCGTACATGGCCTTGGCATCAGCGTGGTCAGTGACACCTGAACCAACGATAATCATTGGTCTCTTGGCCTCTGCCAGCTTTTTACCGAAAGGTCCAGCGAGGGTCTCCTTCAAGGCGGCAGCGTCAGTGCCGAGATGCTCAAATTCGAAAGTTGATTCCCATGGTTCACCGACGACACCAATCTCAAGGTCAGAACGTAACCATTGTTTGCGGATACGAGCATTAAGACCAGCAGCTTCGTGTCTAGTGTTGCTTCCAACGATCAAAATAGCATCGGCTTCCTCTACACCCCAAATCTTAGAGTTGAACAAGTAATTCGATCGAACGTCGATTCCGTGTGGCATTGGGGCGTTTCCAGATGGCTGATCAAGAGCCAAGTTCTCAGAGCCAAGCTTGTTGGCAAGATCCTTCATTGCAACCATAGATTCAGTCTCAATCAATTCTCCAGCAATAACCTTGAATTCGTTACCCTTTGGAGCAAAATCTTTGTATGCTGCACCAATCTCAACCAAAGCTTGCTCCCAACTGACTGGAAGGAATTTTCCATCCTTCTTAATTAATGGGGTAGTAAGTCTTTGAGTTTTCAATCCATCACAGGCAAATCGTGTCTTATCGTTAATCCATTCCTCGTTGACATCGTCGTTCAATCTAGGGAGAATTCGCATAACCTCGAGACCTCTCGAGTCGACTCGAATGTTTGATCCTAAACCATCCAATACATCAATAGATTCGGAGTGCTTCAATTCCCAAGGTCTAGCTCTGAAAGCGTATGGTTTTGATGTAAGAGCTCCAACAGGGCATAAATCTATAATGTTTCCAGACATTTCGGAATCCAGGTTCTTCTCGAGGTATGTTCCAATTTGTAAATCGTTTCCACGTCCAGTCGATCCGAGTTCCGGTGCACCAGCAATATCGTTTGCGAATCGAATACATCTTGTACATTGAATACATCTGTTCATCGAAGTCTTGATGAGGGGTCCAATATTTTTATCCTCAGAGGCACGCTTGCCACCAACTTCGTGGAAGCGTCCACGATCAGCTCCATATCTCATAGATTGATCTTGCAAATCACACTCTCCTCCTTGGTCACAAATAGGACAATCTAGCGGGTGGTTGGCCAATAAAAATTCCATAACTCCTTCTCGGGCTTTGTGTGTGAGGGGTGAACTGGTCTTGACGACCATACCGGGCTGTACTGGCCATGCGCATGATGCAACTGGTTTTGGTGCTTTCTCGACTTCAACTAGACACATACGACAATTTCCAGCAATCATAAGTTTTCTATAGTAAGATATTCGGATCAGTGGGGTTCGTTTGTGATATGCGCAGTTTTGTCGACTTACTCATGATAGCAATATCTATGAAAGTGTTAGCAGAAAACTTCAGCACATAGATTTTCTATCGAAAGCTTGCCTTGGGATTGTGACTCCTGCCTTCTCGCATGCTTGAATTAAAGCAGAACCAGCTGTGGCGTGTCAACAACTTTTTCCCATCCCAATCATGATCAATCCTAGCATACCTTCTATAGAAACTTGTTTGCCATCTAGTATAGAAATCAGTCAAGTCTTCTGTGATATCATTGGCAGATCTAATGCTACTTACCAACAGTGAGAGTAACCTCTGCCTGTCTTCTATTTGTAGTCGCGAATGTTCTTGCAACATATAAACTTTGTCTACTGCTTCGTAGAGCGGATCTCGATAACGTTGACCTCAGCATGGTGTGTATGTAGAATCTGGGTATGAAAAGAAGAAAGAAAGAAACTCCGCAGTACAAAAGAGGTGGCGAGGGGAAACCCTTCAATTGATTAATTATTTACTTCTTTACCCCAAATTCATTTGAAGCTCTCGTCGTTCGGATGTAACTTGTTAGCGTAAATCGTGGAATTTACTAATCCCGTTCCCCGTCATCATGATTGGTTCACTCAAGATGACTAATATCCCACACTATAAAGTTCTTCACATTCGGAAATTTTCTAAACTCTCTCTTCTTTTCTTCTTCATTTAAATTGTAATGGACACTTTTATTGTGGGTGTACTTGAGTGAAGCAATTCACAATCAATCGAGTCTTCCTCTATCTTGTGTTCTAGAAGAACATATATTGAGCGCTGGAATGGATGCAAATGAAATCTTTTCTTACAAGAAAGCTTTATGAATGCGCAACTTACCGCCGGCTGCTACATACTACTTAGAATGACCTACATCATCGTGCGCTTGTGAAAAATCCTAATCGACGACATAAACTGTTAAGAACTGGGAGTCACCATGAACTGGATGTTCGACGATTATCAACATCTTTTTGATTCAAGGTCGAACTTTAATCTACTGCTGTAAATTCTTTCGATGTTATTTCTTATATTTTTTTGACCATCATTTATTATGAAAAAGGCAATCACTATGTCATAGTCACTCACTCGTACACCTGCATCCTGATATGGCTGCCAGAATCTTGCCGTCTCAAAAACTCCATTTACTGCTTTGGCACACAATGTATTGTGAGGAGATGAACACTGTTCATCTAAATGTTTGCGTCAATAGCAATGGAGTACTGCCTATTCTACGAACTGATGCCTTCTTATGACGATCTCCGGCACGTTTGCTTCAGCAATCTGAATGCACGCCTTGCTCCCATCGTCTGCCTATTATCCAGAGTAGTACCTCGTCCTTCCCGTTGCTGAAATGACCGCCATTGAAATGATCACGTCCATCGTCTCCGTCGCCTTCACACCACGTATCCCAAGCTGATAACGAATTAGCCATACATCACTGACATGTGTTGACTGCCGCGAGATCGGCTTCCCCTTAAAGTTGTGCGTTTTCGAAAAGAGTAAACTCACTTGGTTCATTAAAATGCAGAATTTTACCGATCGACGTGTAATATCTACCTCTTACGTCCTCGAAATTCATTCGATGACCCTCGCGATCCTTCCCACCAATTGTAAAGCTTGCTCTCTCTTTAAAACCTACTTCAAGTAGAGTCTTGAGAGCAACATTCATGTGAAAGATAGGCATCAGCGCCTCGAGATCTTCCGAAGACGAATTATTAGCATGGAAGTGAACCTCCAATTTGCCTATGCTTGGCAATTCCAGACTTGGGAACGAGGTCGTGATGACCTCAGTCAATCTTCGGAGCTGTCCAAGATTGGAAGCAAGTCAAATGCCGGCGTGGGTTCTGTGCTTTAAAATTCCGGACCACTTGCTTCCGGAGGTAGTGAAGACATTATGAGGAGCTTCCTGGAATCCAGATTAGGAGGCTCGCGAGTAAATAGACAAGCTGCTATACTCTCCAAAGGCGGATTTCTCAGCTAGTAAGTAAATAGTCACTGTAACTTCTTTTTCGGGGACTCGGGGTTCCTTGCTGGAGCAGCGGATCAATGTTAAGATGACAGAGAGTCAAGATGGAGGACAAGAGTCAACCTCCTAATATATCGAACTCTCAAATATGTTTCTGGTTATTTGTTTGCTGCAAGTGACGTCCTCTTCTCACTTGCGAGGAGGAATCATGAGAACTCGGATGACAGCATCAAACAACTTGAGAGCTTCGCTCTCAACAAACAACTGAACTTCTCCCTATGTATCTGGCAGTCTCAGGTGATACTATCCCTCAATCTTCTCGGACGACTCGAAACGACAAACAAAGACAAAGAACGATTAGAAGATACATTGCTACAAGACTCGGATTGGGCATCTTGATTTTGATATCTGCCTTTGCCTAAATATGTGCCTAAACATGTACCAACACCTCACAAGCAGCTTAACTTTGATTGTCAAATTTTCAAGCTCTTTTCAATTTCTTCTTGAGATTTTATCGCAGAGTGTCCGAAGCTATCAAGGTATGGATGGAAGTTTAATGGCATGATGGAATCTTACCAGGGCTATCCGAAGCAGTCAGGTTGAGTCCGTAGTGCTCGTTGAATTGCTGCTCTAGGAGCTCTGGTAAACTCATAGTCGATGAGGAGCAGATCAGATATTAAGCTGCATACTAACTAGATACGTGCATTAACCAACGCTGCCTCAATGCTAGTGTAGAATGCCTAGGTAAGAAATTGAGAAATTTTGCTTTCAGTAGTAGTAACCTGCAAAGGAATCGGGTGATAAAGGGACTTAGCTCTTCAGTTCTTCCGCCCTCTCACTTCAGTTCCTCAAATCGTTTCGATCAAGTGAATGGGGTTGATTATGACAAGTGGAATCTTGGCAGAGTTCTATTATATTGATAGGTAGTTATGTGAATTCTTTCGAACTTTCTTTGGGGCAGGTAGGGGAGAAACGCAGGAAACTATTTAATATTCACAAGGACAAGTGACCTTGTGATGAAGAGCAATTTGCAATAGAAGACTGACAGAGATGTTCTGTTACTGTATTAATTCAAATCAGTGAATCTTCCCATAGCTAGGAAGAGGAAGAACTTGAAAACTCGATGAAAAAATAGGTTGTAATCAGGAAAACCACTGTTGATCACTTGCGAGATGGATTTATCCCATGTTTCCTAGAATTCTAGTAAACACAATCTACCGGTAGTTTGAATGTGTAGTATACCCAGGTAACAGAAGCAAAGTCTTGCCGAACTGAGAACCCAGTCCATAGAGCCAAAACAGATTTATAGACGCATAAACATACAGGCTCTGCATAACTGTGATGAATGTCCCATTCCTGAACAAAGCTTTACTTTACTCCTTTATGTTTGAAATTCAATATGGCCAAGTATGGTTGGTATCTTTCATCTTTACCTGGGTATTTTATGGTAGAGAAGGAAGAAATTAATGAAAAGGCGAAGTTCGAGTGACACTTCCAGGAGAACTAATGATTGGTCAATGTGAAGACTGAACTTCGATACATTCACTTTTCAATCTAATGATGAGAAAAAAGATGAAACTAAGAAGCCTGAGGTCATTCGAAGACTTTTCATGCTCATTTTATTTTGTGCTAGCTTATATTATCAGTTCGGGAAACGTTCTTGTGACCTTGAATTATATTCCCAGTAGGATAAACAAACAAGTCCCCAAAAAGACAAAACAGAACAAACCATACATAACAACCATCGAAACTCTCTTCAATTCTTCTGTTAAGTTCTAGATTCAAAAGACATCAATTGCTGTGCAATAAATTGTTTTTGTTGGATACAAATTACCTCGACTTCAAGGTTAGAACTGTCCATCAGACAAATCACACAAAATGGACTTCAGTAACGGCCTTGGCATATCCTTTGGCACAAACCATTCGGAGTTTGAGGAACGTGATGACAATTACGGAGAGTCAATTGAATCTAATAACGATCATCAAGTTCATCATGATCAGCAGATGGAATACAATGGAGAGACTCCGGGAGATCAGACATCCTTTGAGTCTCAACTTGCCGATCCAGACAGTACTCCTCGACCAAACTCTTCTTACCAAAACCAGTTCACCCCCATCAATCAAGCTTCAGGTGGTGCACAAGCCCAGTCCTATGGTCAACCATATCAATACAGTCAACCGAGCGCTTCTTTTCATCCTTTGGGAGGCAATGAACATCTTCAGGGTCATATGAATGCTATTCTTGCTTCACAGAACGACTATGGCCAAGCAATTCCTCAATCTTTGCAATTTGGCGCAGATCCTCAATTCAACAATCATGGTCATCCTGAATATGGCTTCCAGCACATGTCAAACCAAGATCGAATGGATACACAACATGGCTTTGGAAATCCTGGTATGCAACCTCAGCAGTTTACACAGAACAACAATCAGCAGTATGACTCTCCCCCAGACATGCAGCACCAAGAAGATTCTGGTAGTTCCCCATCCTATAATCTTCAAACATATCGAACTTTGTACAGGAATCAAGAAGATTTCAGTCAAGTGAGCGATTGTTTAAGCTTTCAGCCAAGGGCCGGTTCTTTGAGAGCAAGTCGCTTTCGTCCAGTGCAAAATCAACTTGGCGACCAAGCTCAAAGTTCATCTTCTGCAGGACAAGGGAATATGTCAAACAAAAACAACAAATCGTCCGGTCGTGCTCCAGGCAAGAAAGGTGGAGGACCCGAAGCAAGATACTGGAATGGATTCGACACACATCGCTCAATGTGGCCCGTTCAAAACTGGATCATCGAAACTATCTTGCCTGGATCATGTATTTATCACTTGACTCCTGGCGAGCAAGAAGGCATCATTACAATGATGCAACGTTTAGGATTGGACAAGTGGAAGATTACATGCAATGAGGATATCCAAAAGTTCTTGGATCATATGAAGTCATTCAAATCGCAGCTCTACGCGAAAGAAGCACAACTCAGAGCAGAAGCAGGTCTGCCTGAGCTTCCTCTGCCTGAAGAAAATCAAGATACTCAGGATGGTGATGACCCGCCTCTACAAGATACATCTTCATTTCCAGAGATATCACCAAATCATGTTCTTACCTCCGACCATGGAGAACCAATCTTTGGCCGGGATCCAAGAGACTATCGCCTCGTAGGTATGGGTCACTCGCATCAACCAGATGATATATCTTTCATTCCAGTATGCTCAGAACAAGAGATCGTTGCGGGTCACAAGTTGTCAGCTCAAGAACTCAACTCGCAACTTCGTCCTCCACCTTTCATTACCCAGCATTTTTGTCCTACAACTTTCCAATCAAATTACGGTATGCAAAATCAGCAAGGATATCTATTGACTCATCCAAGTGATCTACTTCATCCATCTGTGGATCAAGGCATGAGCAGACCTTTGGATTTCTCGTATCAAGATGTCGGATTCAATGGTGGTCCACCACAGCAATATCATAACCATGGTTATGCGAGTCAAGCACAGCAATACCATCATCACGGTCAACCTTTTGAGTACAGCTCCTTTCATGGTTACTCCCCTCATTCTCCCCATCCTTATCCAATCAACAATGCTGACCAAAATTTCCATCCAGCTCCACCCCCAGAAAAGATTGAGGAGTACGAGGAGTACGAGGAAGACGACGAACAGCAAGAGGAGGTAAGAGGTACTGAGTCTCAGTCTCAGACCGCAAAACAGAAACAGGAACAAGAACAGAAGCAACCCGAGCCCCCGCAACAAGAAGACCAAGCCATAAAATCCGAACGCGAACTGAACTCCGACTGTTGGTCTATCCACGCCGACGAAATGCGCTCTCCACCACCGAATATCCATCCCATCCTCCGACCTGCAAATATGCCGCCTTCGCCTCCACGACCCCAGCTTCGTTTTCCGAGTAATGAGATCAATCCCTTCGGAGCGAAAAATAGGCCTCCTCCAATTATTGGGCTTGGAAATCGCGTGTGGAGTATTGCTCTGGGTGCGTTTGATGAGAATGGGGTTATTAGGGATTGGGATAAAGCTAAGAGGAGAGAAATTGGTGAGGGGAACTGTGGATGCAAGGGGTTGTTTCATGGGGATGGGAAGGGGTTTTATTATATGGATGGTGATGGCGGGGAGAGGATTTGGTGTGACGGGGGAGAAGGGGAGGGTGGCAAGGAGGACAGTGACAATGGGGAAGAGGGAGAGGACGAAGATGAAGGCGAGGAAGATGAACAGTTCAGAGGAGTACCGAAATGGGTTAAGCAGGCATTAATTCATGGACCAGAATTAGATAAGAACGAAGAGAGAAGAAAAGAAGTGGAGTATCAAGCGATGATGGCGAGAAAGGTGAAAGAAATACTCGCGAGAAATAAAGCGAAGGAGAGAGGAGAGATTCTAGGATTTGGTTTTGATGGGGATTTTGGATCGATGGATGTGGAGTCATTATTCGATGATGCTGAAAATCTTGAGGGGTATGATGCGAATCTATTTGATCCAAAGTCGAGCGGTAAAGGGAAACGAAAAGCGAGAACTGTTGATTCAGAGAAGGATCTCGATGAAGGCTCGCCAGTCAAGAAGTGGAAGGGAAAAGGGAGAGCTGCGGAATCAGATGAAGAACTGGATGAGAGGGAGGTTGCTAGAAAATATGCTAACAAGGAGAAGAATAAGGGGAAAGGAAAGGGAAAAGTGTTCGAACTTCCAGAGGAAACGGGAAGGGAAGATTACTTGTTTGGAGATTCTGCAGAAACGGCTCGATGGGCTGAGGGATTGGGTCTTCGGCCTCTGGAGAACGAAGAGGAAATGGATGAAGATAGTGACGATCATTTCTACGAGAACATCAATCCTCCACAGGGTGGCTACGACACTACACGGTATCCCAACAATTCCGAACATGAACATGAATCCGCAACCGCAGACTCCGAGCTCGCAGCAACCGGTATCATCCTCCCAGCCACATTTCCGAATCCCTCCCATCCCTCTTCTGAGGAAGGAATCGAAGACATCCCCAGACCAGCACCCTACCTCTCTCGCCGCAACTCCGGCCCCTTCAACATCTTCCAATCTCTCCTCCTGACCCCCGAAATAATCCTCGAATTCATGCTTCACCTCTCCCCCAGAAACCTCCTCACACTCTACTCCATCTGCCGTCCCTTCCACACCATCCTCTCTCACTGGATGGCGCACGCCATTAAATCCATCGTAAAGCACCAAGCCCCCTACTCCTACACCATCTACTCCTTCTACCTCTACCGCGAGCTCAGCATCCCGGACCCCCTCGGCACTCTCAACTCCTCGGGTCAAATCCGCCGGGTCCCCAGCCTCAAATACCACCAAATGGTACTCCACCGCTGCCGCGTCGTGCGCAACATCCTCGCCTCCCTCGCACGCCAGCATCTACGCTGTCCCCCGGGTACAAACCACGCCCTCAAAAAAGTCTGGTTCCTCATGGATCTATCCACCACTCTCGACCGCGTCCGCCTCATCCACAACCGCACCTTCTTCACCGACCACGATCTCTACAACATCCAACACTTCATCGTAAAGCTCGACATGCGTCTCAACTGTCCCACCGACGGCCCGGGCTCCGATTTCCTCCGCAAACTCATGCTCGGTCAGCGGGGTCTCACCCCGCTATGTCGCTTACTCTCTCGCACCGGTTTTACCGATCTCTACGAACTCTACCAATACAGCGTGCGTTACTCCTACACTCCACTCACCCCCGCCCCCGATCTCCATCTCGGACTATTCGATGTCCCAGAATGTGAACTTGGAACCGCGCATCTAGAGGGCTGGGGAAAGGGCTCAAAACATCTCATGCGCATCGATGAGCTCGTGATGCGTGAAGCGACGCGCAGAGAACTGGGCTTCAAAGAACATATCATGATGATGTTACTCTGGGGATATGTGGATCCGCTTACGGGGGAGAATCTGCGACCGAGCAGAGAGGAAATGTATATGAGTGATGGGGAGGGCGAGGAAGCAGAGAGCGAGGGAGATCCGTGGGAGGGCACGGGAATGAATATGCAGAGGTTGGAACAGGTTGTTTTGGGGAGGGCAGAGGAGAGTGATGGCGATGAGGATGAGGATGATGAGCAGCAGGGAGAAGAGGAATGGGAGGATGAAAATGATTTCGAAGATGATCCTTGGTTGTGAATTTGTGCGTGAGAATTTGAACTTATGAAACGTGTAAAATAAATAGCTTGAAGCTATTTCAAAAAAGAGACATACCTTTTTTGTAAGATATCTAGGTATCTATTGTACCATAAGTAAAAAAAAACATTCATAAGAATAATTCATTGCTGATTATCTACCTGACTATAAATCCCAACACTCACACTCACACTTACACTTACACCCACCCCCCGTAATCTAACAATCCAACAAAACATGAACACTCAAACCCCACACTCAAGACTCAACATGAAGTCTCCAATACACACTAATTTACACCTCTGATACTTTCCACGTCTTCCACATCTTCCACATCTTCCACATCTTCCACCACACACACACACACGATTTTCCCAAAACACAAGCCCAAGATCATTATCCCACCCCACCCCACCTCAACCTTTCGATTCTTCGAAGAAATACCTCTTTCTCCATTCAAATCTTCAAATTTTCAATCTCCATCTCTCTCTCATAAGTGTTCAAAACAAAAGCTTTAACTCAAATTCCATGATCACCCAGGTGAGTAGATAAATTCTTCATCGCCACAAATAAATCCGAGGGGATTCTCTTGCTTCACAGGTAAACACCAACCATCGTAGTGTGTAGTAGTAATTACAAATTAACCATCACAGCGAGATACAAAGTTCCAAAAGATTCAACTTCAACCATATGTATTCATTGGTGAAGCAGAAAAAACGAGAAGTGTTATCTGCATCCCTCAGCCTATCTACGATACTACTGATTTTACCAATCCAGCAATTCACTCCTCTCCTCTAGATCCTATCACCTCCATCCACCACCACACAGTAGAACTCGACGCACATCCTAACTCACCACCGAAAAACAGAAAGAGTAGACACGAGGAAAAGTAAGCTTGCTACAATGAAAGAAATAATAACAACCTAATCACATCCATCCATCCATCCATCCATCCAGCCGTCCATGCATACCATCTCCTAACCATCGATCGTCATCAGACAATCCACACCCATCCAATAAACCATCATCCTTCCATCCGTCCACCCCATCCATGCCCAAGTACCCCCAGCCCAGCGACCAAACGATCAAACCTTCTAGCAACCCAGCCCCAAATGTCCTAAATATCCACCTGCACCCCCACCCAAACTAACCAATTATCGCATCAGTAAAGAAGACGATAAATGCTTGAATGCTAGTATGTATTTTCCCTTCTCCCAGAAATGTTACGAAGGAAAAATAAAGACAGGAGAAAGACGCAAAGTATTCGACACAAAGTGCTGGAGAAGCCGAAACAAGGTAAAGACAACTTCATCGCGAGCACACACAAACCGAAAGGAAAAATACAAGAAAGCGCAATAAAGAAACTCGAAAACAACATGCAGAAATCCTAACCCTTCTCGAAAAAATCCCCTTTGCCAATATCCATCACCATCGCCATCGCCATGCTTTTTTGTTATTTGATCGAAAATGCGTTCGTCATATTTCCATACTCCGGTACGAAGGAGGAAGATCAGACCAGATATTAGACAGAGAAGACCGAGGACCCCGTCCAAACACCCCAACCACATTAACGACAGCACTCCTTCGCTATGCACCAAGCCAAGATCCAACCGGTTCAAGTCGAAATCGTCCCTTTATACACCATCAAGCATATTTCGATCCGTTTCCATTTGCTCGCTTTCCCTTTGCAGCCCTGAAGTCAGAATCCACCTTCCGCATTAAAAGAACTCCGCCCTCCAAACTTTGTTCCATGTCAATTTTCCACATCATGTAAATTTTCCCTGCCATTTTCTTTATACCGCTACCGATCCAACCGACTACCCATCCCAACCACCCATGTATGCGCTAAATCCACCTTATAAACCATTGTAACAAATCCACAAAGCCCCGACCGATAAATGTCTATCTTTCATTCAAACCCCAAAGCCGTCCTGAAATATAGTCACAGAAGAGATAGTCGAAACGTATAAATGGAAAAAGGATGAGCGCAAATACCAAGAACGCCTTAAGCTGGAGATTTGCTTGGAGCAGCAGCACCATTTTGACGAGCATCACCGCTACCCATAGACAAGTTGTTGATTCCAGATGAAAGGAAAGCGAATGGATCACTTTCACCTTGGTTAGCGTAGAAGTTGTTTGAAGGCCCTGCGGATGCTGGACCATTGCTGGCTGATTGGAATGCTGCCTCTGCAGATCGGCTATCAAATCCTCCTGCGCCGGCAGAGTGAACACCAGTTGCAGGACCGAAGTGAGTGTTCAATGAGGGGTATGAACCAGTTGGTGCGCCAAGACCGGATGGAAGAGCATAAGTGCTAGGTGGGCCACCAAAGTGTTGACCACCATAACCACCGGATGGACCGAAGCCACCAGCAGCTGAGGCAAAAGGACCTGGGCCAGGGGTACCAGCCATGGAGTTGGAACCCATGCTATAGTTGTTCGCAGCATCCATTGGGGAAGGATAACCAGAATCGGCAACGACAGCGGCACCAGCACGACTTGCGCCACATCTTAAACAGCTGACATTCTTGGCGAAGTTGTGGTAACCACACCCTTCAGATCCGCATTTCCAATCACCGGCACGGAAAGGAACAACGCCACCACCACCTCCCATCCTTCCACCTCCGTGGCCACCTCCCATACCTCCGTGATGACCCATGTGTTGTGGAGGGGGCATCATTGCTGGTGGACCATAGCCGTAACCACCACCACCACCACCACCATATCCACCACCCATCTCAGCAGCTGGGCCACCACCCATGGCTGGGAATGAGCATCGGAAACAAGCAGTTCTACGCTGGAAGTTAGAGAAACCACATGATGGACAAGTCCAGTCTCCAGGGCGAGGTCTGTTCTTGCTAGGTGGGAACGGAGTAAGAATTTCTGCAGCACGGTCAAGAACGCGACTGGAAGATGGTGAGACCTCGATGGCTTTCTCATTGAGAGCTCGTCCGTTCATGCAGAGACTTTCAGCGGCCTGAAAATTTGTTAGAGAATGACCACGAATATTGAAAAATTTGATAAGTGAAGCGACAGAGAGATTGAGCAATTTATCGTAGAGTAAAAGAATAAATTCATATGAAGCTGAACACACGATTTGATGTTCGTGGCACAACATACAAAATAGGAAAAGATGAGTGGGGGGATTTTGGCTGACCTCTTCATGGGATGAAAATACTGCGAATCCAGAACCAGTAGGCTTGTGCTGATCTGGGGTTCGGAGCGTCCAGAAAGCAATGGGACGACCACCGAATTGGGTAAACCAGCTCTCGAGCTCAGATTGAGTGGTATCGTGGGGAAGTCCTGCCATGTGGAGAACTTTGCTGCGTTCCGAAAGAAAAGCTCTAACATCAGCACGGGCATCCATAGGTCTAGTAAGAACATCAGGATGTTCATGAGGAGGTTGTGACTTGCGAATCAACCCTCTGAGGACTCTAGCAAGTGTAACCGCTTCTTCCATTGCACGACGAGGGGAGGCCGGGGCCAAAGCTTGGAGGTGGAATGGTAGGTTGTGCTTGATTGGAGCACTAGCTTGAACAGGTTCGACCTCCAACGCAGCGCAAATATTTGAGAGCATGGATGGACCAAATGGCAGAGATTCAGGGTGATGTTGTTGCCATCTTTGGTACTCAGTTCGAAGGTCAAAAGTTCTAGAATGTTGTAAATATGGAGGCAGCACAACAGCTTTGTCACGAGCTTCGCGAGGAAGCTGGACTCGAAGATCCCATGAATCAAGTGTAACAAAAGAGAAGTCGAGATTTTGAGATGTGAGGTGCTCGGCAGCGAATGTATCGAATCGGTTGATCGCATCGCGGAAGGTACCTGCAGTACGGACATGTTCCCAAGTAAGAGTAGTCAAGCTCGCTGTAGATGTTTAGTTAGCCAGTATTCGGAAGAATCGGTATCGAGGCCGCCTTGAAGGATTGAGGTCCATATCTGATGAGATGGTTCCATTCGGCACTTACTACATAGAGGAGTAATTGGAGTGTTAATGGGCTTAACAAGAACACTCTCTCGGTGAAGCTAGAGAATTTATTAGTTAGCAAGTTGGCTTCCGTAGATAGACGAAAGCTAAATTAAGATGAAAACTCACCTCGTCACAAGTTTTTGCGTCGAGTAAAATCCACCCGAGCTCTATCACCTCAGCGGAATCTTTGGTAACGTAAACGCCATGTTCATCACAAGTGGTAGCAACGTGGATGACCACATATCGATCTAAGTTGCCTTGCTGGCCTTGAATAGCTGTCGACATTTTTTGGAAGCTTTAAAAGTGTGCGAAGGGGAGGAATTGAACTATTCTTCCGAATTGAGAGAGATGAGTTGTTGGGGGGGGAGGGGGGTAGTTGATGTAATCGATGGGAACCTCCGAAAAAACGAATAGGGAGGTAAGGAAGAGGTTTGGAGGTTTGGAGGTCAAGAGGAAAACAGGTACTCGCAACCAGATTAAGAAAGAAGAGAAAGTTTAAAGAAATGTGCTTTAACCTTAGGTATTCAATATCGAACCTCCGGGAAGAGAAGGTTGGTTGAGAATTGGAGAAAAGAGGGAACGGAGGATGTGGAGCTAAAAATTCTTGTGGTAAACGGTAAACAGCGAGTTTGAAATTTGACGGGCAGGGAACATTTAATATTTTAGCGGGACGAGAAAGACTGGTGATGAGTGAAGATAGAAAGAAGAGATAGAGAGATAGAGAGAGAGAGAGGGAGAGAGAAATATAAATATAAGTATTTATTGAATATTAAGTAGTAAATAATAAATATTGTATTTTTAAACACGTTAATATATAGATAGATAATGGAAATAACACTTTATTTGTATTTTAAAACAAATTAAATAAATATAAAAATAGTGTATACAGCATCACATTACAGATCAATTGAAAGATATCATTACCTACTTGGGATCTTGTAGATTCATTATTTATCTACATACACATATACATATACATCTACACATACCTACCTACAAGTAGGTACACATACGATATGTTAACAAGACCAATTAATTATTCATCTACTCAAATTGGTAGTATTCGAATATCATCACTACATTCATCACTCACTGCTCCTACTCCACACTTTCAATCGTTTTCATATCGTGAGTAATGACATCCTGTTACTACCCAGGGAAAGTTTACTTTTTATATCGCGCCTCAACGCAAATAAGAGTTCAGGGACTTTCGGATTGGCCCCTTATACTTTTAGGATGTTTACTTCTTGTATTAGTTGTGACTTCAGCATTCTAGGTGATTCTCCAAGTTCATCTCTAATACCTACAAAGTATAGTTGAGGTCTATCTTTCTACGCCGGCCCAGCGGTAACTCTACCCATACATACGTACATACAATACACGGAGTGCGTAGTAGTAGTGTGAAGCTTATTTGTTCTTTCAGAAGCCGTTCCGAGCCAGATACCTCCCTCAGAGTCCTTCTAGTACACTCTTATTATTCATAGCTTTCGGATGGATGAAAATCGCTACACCTAGTACTTGTACTATATCTAGTACCTGCTCATCGAAGGAGGGTTTGGAGAATATACTCTGCACTTATATTTACACTTCCACTTCCACTTCCACTTCCACTTCCTCTCATCTACCCTTCCTTACCTAGGTATTATTTTTCTCTCTAGCGTCCCTCACTCTAACCTAATCATGCTAGCTGCCATCGATCATTACCAACTTGAGTATATCATGTATGTCAACAACAACACCTACCTAGTGCTCTATACCTTGGTATTGATGCTAGCACTTACCTAATCAGGTTCAGTCGATAACGGATTCGTTTGTACCTGTCAATCGAAATGGGATATAAAATGATTCAGATTCGTCTTCTAGAAAGTGTCAATTCTGACTCCTTCTCCATCTCCCTGTCTGTCAGTTTCACTTGAAAAAGTATGGGGA